TATTGATGATAAAACGATATTTTCAAAACTATGAGCATCCACATTATTACTAGTCTGAACATTCATACAATTAATATTATTACTAGTTTGAAAATTCACTATTATTACGTGAACGTTCATACTATTGTTAGGTTGAAGATGTTTGAAAGATTGATCATATCACCTATTTTCAACCTCTTTAGATATAAGCGAGTATGAAATCTCGTGTTGAGCCATCTGTTAATAATGAAAGATTTGACTTCTTCTTCATCTTCATTCATAATAACTATTTCCAAGATGATCAATTTTCTCGAGCGGTCCGTCAACGTCATCTTTTCTTTCAAAATATTCTAAAGTATCTTCAATTATATCCAAATATTGAGGATTAATGTTGATTCCACTTTTAAAGCCACATATTAATTCATCATATTCAATCATATCCCAAGATTCAGTCGGAATATTGAGCCCTCCGTTAAAGTAATTTGCTTTTTCAGGAGATTCAAAAGCATGTTCGACTATATCCAAAGATTCAGAATTATCATTTTTCGTGTTGACTTCACTGTCAAAGTCTTTTATTAATTCACCATTATTTTCATGATTTACTTCTTTACTATGTCCAATCATATCCAAAAATTCAGAATTATCATTTGTCGTGTTGATTTCACTGTCAAAATCTTTTAATTCATCATTTTTTTCATGATTTACTCCTTCGCCATGTTCACTCGTATCCAAAGATTCAGAACCATAATTTTGGCATACCTTTTTTGACACAAACTTGCCTTCTGCATTTCTTGTTTGATTTTTGGCTCTCTTTTTTCTTTTTGAAATTGGTGGCATTTTTTCTTTTTTTTTTTTTTTATATACAACAATAAATTAATGATTGATCGTCATTGAAATATTTTATATAGTAAAATTGACTATTATTATTATACCTCCATAAATTTGCTCACAGTCGAGCAATCAAAAAAATAAGCTGTAGCTATGAAAGAGGAAGCCATAATCTATCATTATTACGGTTTATTTTTTTTGCATAGCAAAAATTGGGGAACTAGATACATTAAAATGTATCTAGTCATCCAAATTTTATCACTATTACGGTTTATTTTTTTTGTATAATGGGTTAGAACTTCCTATCTCAAACTTACGGTTTATTCTTTGATTGCTAGACTATGCGTAAGTTTTTTTAGGCAATGTCATAAGTTCACAGGTGACTTTAAAGCCAAGTTAAATTCAATTGCGCCGACACAAATTTAATTATTTAGTCGCACAACTGAAATGTTATTATTATATATAAAAAAAAACCCCAAAAAAAATTTTTTTAAATCCTCTAATAAATAAATTAATTCGTGATACGTGATAGAATTTGGCGCAAATTTTCGCAGATCACTAATTGAAATTTTCCACTTCATATTAATATTATTGTTGTATATACGTGAAAATGAAATTATGTGAATTCGCAATTCACATATGTGAAATTCAAATTTACATGTGTGAAATCCAAATTTACATGTGTGAAATCCAAATTAGCCAATCAGAATTTCACCTCACTCCATAATTATCATGTAGTTATCCACAAAAAATATCCGCAATCGCCAAATCGATTTCTAAATAAGGATAACACGCACCCAACCCACCAATAAAAATTGGTTATTCTCATAATGCTGCGCAAAATTGCGGATAACATGATTATGCGAAATCTTATTAAATTCAGAACATTCCAATAAAATTTTAGAATGTCCGATAAAAAATTTAGAGATCAGCCATTTCCAGTTACACTGTATAAATTTTATATTATTTTATTCAAACTATGAGTTTATTATTATTCAAATTATTCAAATTATTCTAATCATTACTTCTAGTTTATTTATTTAAAATTTTTGTCCAATATCCAATGGAAATCAGACAGGTATTTGACTATTATTTCTATAGTATTTTTTGTCCTGCCAGAGTATAAAACAAAAAAAAAATTTTTTTTTAAATGAAATAAGTTTTTAATGAAATGCAAGGTATTAATTAATTGGTATGTATATCATCAGTAAAAAGAAATTATATGTTTATTATCCAGTGAATTTAATCATCTTTATGTCTAACCATCAAAATAAAAGTTGATCAACTTTAAAGCAGGATAAGGAAATATTGAATGCTTATCTGAAAAAATAGAGTCCAAATTGAAACATTTAAAGTTATTTGAAATTTTTAAAAGCTAATAACTCTGAACTAATAATTTTATCTCGACGATAGGTTGTAGAACTACTTAATAGCTATCAAACATCTAATTTTTCCAGATAAGTATTCAATATTTCCCTATTAGCTTTAAAGTTATTTGATGGGGTTATAGTGACCCGCACCGTACTATGTTATAATAAATGGATCAGCATTAATTGTTCATTTTATCGTTTATTCATTTTTTATTCTATTCTAATTAATTATTTTTTATTTTAATTATTCTCATCATTCTAATTATTCATTTATTCGTTTTATTCGAATTTACTCATTTTATTCGTTTTATTTGAGTTACTCGTTTTTTATTCGTTTTATAAAATATAAAATATTTAATTTACAGCTTGATACAACAAATTCTATATTATTGTTGTTGTTATCGTCAAGGGATTTTAACTTATAAATAATGTCTTATTTCCTTTAATAAACAATATAAATTGCAATAATGATGTTTATAATCTATATTACTACTGCTATGGTTACGGTTATTAGTAACTATGACTTAAGAAAAGAAAACTGACAATTATTTCTGCTACTACTATTTATTGTTATTATTTACTATATACAAGGACTATGAAAGAAAAATATATGAATATTTTTAGTAATAATGATATTATTTTATTCTTTTGGTCCAGTATTTTTTCAAGATTTTCAATAAAATTTTCTCAAACTGGGCATTTTCTCCAATATTTTTGATCAACGCATTTCGCGCCCTGAATAACAATAATAGTCACACCCTAAAAAAAAGTATTGACTCCAACATAAATAATTTGTAATTTAAAATAGTCATTTTTTGCTTATTGAGCAAATCGAGGTTTGTGCATTGATAAGAAAATTCTTACTGAAATGATTTGCATAATAATAACACTCTAAAATATCACGTCGGACTGATAGTTTAAAATTTTTCGAAGATTTTTAAAAAAAAGTTGCACTTGGAGCTATTTTAAGATACGATATTTTAATATATCTCGAGAACTTAGAAAGTGTTGCTTCATTGGTTCTCAAATAAATTTTCAAAATTATTGGTCAAATATTCATGGAAAATTAAAAATGTAAAAATAACAAAGATTCATTTACTCAATATTTTGTCGGGTTTCCTTTGAATCAACTACAGCTTGAACCCTTCGAGGCATGCTGTCTACCAACTTTTGAAAATAATCAGGATCAAGATTAGCCCACTCGCCCATTAAACAAGAAACCAATTCATTTGTATTTCTTGGAGGAGCAATAGTAGTTTGATCTTCTTCCATAAATGCTTTTATTGCACAAATTACTTGTGACTGAAAATGATTGAATGCACCAGCAATGTCACGATCGTTTTCGCTTGCTTCACAACGTTCAATTATTCTTCCTTGTCCAAAGTCTGTTAATTGAGAGGTGATGTTTTAATTGAAATAACAAGTTGAAAATTCAATCATTTTTTAAAAAAAACCATTTAAAGTTGGATCATGCATAGTGATAATTATATTATATAAAAATTCTTTACGCTTTGTATTCAAAGTTCATAAAATTATCGTCCAATGTGATATTTTAGAGCGTTACACGAATCATTCCAGTTTAATATTTAACTAGTTATTTTTATTATATAAACAAATGAACACAGATCATTCTATTCTCAGAGTTACGAGGTAATGATTCTCAAGATAGACAAGAATTTAAATAGGAAAAATAGTAAGTAAAAGTTACACATTAACTTTTTGTTTTTATAATATTTTATAAATATTTTAATTAATTAATTAATTAATAATAATAAATAAATAACTATTTATATTACTTATTCAATTATTTTTAGGGGTGCGTATTTCTTTGAATTCACCCAAGGAAATTTATGGACATTCCAAAAAAAGGTTATCTATGAAATGTGAACTCGCACATTCTCTCTATATAACTTTTCTGCTTCGTTTGTTATAGAGTGTTTACTAAGATATAGAGAGGAATTAATTATAAAAAAATGAATCGGGGGCAAAAGCGAAATTCTTTAAAATTTACTTAGTATTCGTTATAGAAGAGTGAACTGTACAATGCAATCAACCAAACCCTTTCTTGTTATAAATATAATTATAATAATAAACTTGTAGATAAACTTGTAGATAAATTTGCACAACTATATTCAGCTTTGTAAATATTGTGGGTATTCTTTAATCGATTTCCATATCCATATTTGGTAATGGTGATATATTTGATTGTTTGATTATTTTGATTATTTGATTGCCATTTTTATAAGGTTTCTGCCTCAATATATTTTATCTTTATTTTTTATGCCGCAGATTCAGTTTCTTTTATTCCATAAAATTCCAGTGAATAACATTTATGCTTTTTTTTTTATTTATACAATTTTATTATTTGGCCCTCGTGGATTAACATTTTCCCTGCCGATCGCTAATTCGCCCGCCAATTGTAAAAAACATGGCAATATCAAATATATTAATACGATTCAGATAAGCAGGAAAGTATTGTAAAAATAGTCATTTGTAGTACAACAAATAAACAATAATGCATAATCAAACAAATATTAATATAAATAACATCTTATCAATTGATAAAATCATTCATAAAAATCAGATTTTCCATCGCATCTACTATTTAAACAATGTCTGTGAATTTTTCAAACAAAATGAGCAGATTATCTATTAACAGAAACACCAACTAGACTTTTTAAATCTACTGTGCTTATCAACTTGATTCTTACGTCATCGTATTATAAATTTGCTAATTTTAAAATTTTCATATAAATATTGAGTTAAATTTCCCACAAAAAAAAAATTTTTTTTTAAAACACACATTTAAAATATTAGCAAATTATGTCTCAAAATCAAGACGAGGGTAACAATAATGTAAATTTAGGGCCACATAGCCCTTCTTCGTTCAGAAGTAAACATTCACAATCATATACACCAAATCGTTCTTTTAGCGTATTGCAATTTACTTCTATGCAAAAAAGTCCCAATGTCAGCCTTGGTCCTCGTCCGTACTTTAATACCCCTAATCAATTGGAAATTGGTTCGAATTAATTTCAAAAAAATTTTTTATTATTATGGTTTCACAAAAAACCAATTAAAGAATCATATGATTTAAAATGAAAAACTCATATATTTGTTTTATTTTTATTTAAATTTTTTTTTTCCAGGTAATTCTTCACAATTGAGGAACCGTAATCAAAATTGGGCTCTTGGTAGTTTAGGAAGTTTACCAGAGGAAAACAAACGAGACAATGCAAATGGAGCTTATGCACAAACTGCTATTCAAAGTAATTTATCATTGTTACTACAAAAAGAGTCAAAAAACCCTGATCCAAATTCAACTGTACAACCATCACCATCAATAGTTTTAGACACATCATCAGTTCAAATAGATAATTCAAAAAAACCTGATGTCACAAAACCTAGAATTAATAACGAAGATATCCCAACAGATGACAGTGAAATTGAGACTGGTGGGATGGAAAACAGACCATTACTAAATAACCAGATTGGTTTTAATAATTATGGGAATGTAATAATAGAGAATGATGATTATTATCCTCAGGGAAAAATTTCATGGATTAATTGGATACCATATGTTGGAGTTCATAATTATTCACACTATGAAAGAATATCAAGACCAAGTATTCATATCACACCAAAAAAATTTATTAGACACATAGTTCTGGACCCAATTTCATACATTCCTGCTGTCATACTTGGGCTTTTATTAAATCTTTTAGATGCTATTTCTTATGGTAAAGTTAATGATTTACATGTTCTTTGTTACTGGGCATTAATTTGAAAAAGATCTAATAATGTCTATAAATATAATAGGTTTGATCATATTTCCATTAAGCAATCCTATTTTCGAAAACTTTGGGCCAGATGGTATCTCTATATTTTTCATTAGGTAAGTTATTTGAGATAAATCAATTTATCAATTCTGATTGATTGATTGTTAATGTAAATTTATACCATCATTAAAATATAAATATAGTTGTATTGTGTCACAAATAGTTTATTCTGGTGGTGGCAGCGTATTTCGAGGTGGTAATGGTAGTATGATGATTGAAGGTTTGTATCTTAAAACTTATATTATGATTCATCAATTTTCTATGGACTTTATAAATAATAAATTTTTTTATTTTTCATCTTTCAAAAGTTGTTCCTTTCCTACATTTGATGTAAGTTGATCTTTTTTACTTCCTGATATTTATTTATTCTTGTAAAATTTATTTAATAAATTAAATATTATATAGGGCTGAAACAATTTCATCACAAATTGATGAAAATGCTGAGGATCGTGAAAAGGCAGTAATCGCTACAACAATACTTTCGTTTGCATTAAGTTCAATTTTAACAGGAGTTGTGTTTCTATTGTTGGGTATATTTAGGGTAAAAAAGTTTATATATTATTTTATTAATTAACGAACGTTATTATTCGTTTGCTTACATACAATATTTGCATAATTCAGCTTGGTTCTTTAGTAGAATATTTTCCAAGGCATATCCTTATTGGATGTATTGGAGGTGTTGGATGGTTTTTATTTGCAACCGCAATAGAAGTTACCTCCCGTATTCAAGAATTTAGATTCGATTTAGAAACTCTTATTCTTTTATTAAGTGAAAATAAACCCTTGTTATGTGGCTCTGCACTTGCTTTAGCGATATTTCTAAGGTTTATCCAATCTAGATTAAATTACAGCCTTGTTGTTCCTTTATATTTTATGATTATTCCTATTATATTTTATGCAATTGTATATATTTTTGGATTGGATTGGCAGGAATTAAGAGACGATGGTTGGGTGTTTAATATATCATTAGATAATGACACACCTTGGTATAACTTTTATAATCATTTTGGTAGAGTTTTATTCCTATGCTTTAAAATTATTATTATTGAAATTATTTTATTATATATATATATTAATTTGTGTATTTAACTTTTAGATTTTAGTAAAACAAATTGGAATGCTATTTTAAAGACAGTTCCAGCAATGTTTGCTCTTACATTTTTTGGTATTTTACATGTACCTATAAATGTACCTGCGTTGGGTGTTTCACTTGAAGAAGATAATGTGGATACAAATCGTGAATTGATAGCTCATGGTTTTTCAAATATGATTTCTGGTTTTTGTGGAAGTGTTCAAAGTAAGTAATTTTGAATTTATTTTCTGAATAAAGTATGTGCGTGCGTATGTTAAATTAATTTATCCTTAAAATCAAATTAGATTATTTGGTATACACAAATTCCCTTTTATTTATTCAATCTGGCGGGGATAGTCGTGTTGCAGGATTGATGCTTGCAGCAGGAACTTTTATAATTTTAATTGTTGGACCTTGGATTGTAGCATATGTACCAGTGATGGCTGTTGGAGCACTCATTTTTCATTTAGGTATAGAGTTAATGAAAGAAGCTTTGGTTGATTCCTGGGAAATTGTAAATAGTTTAGAATATTTCACTATAGTAGCCACTGCAGTTTTCATGGCAACTCTTGGTTTCATCGAAGGTATATTCTTGGGAATTCTGATAACGTATATAATCCATGTTGTTTCAACTACTCGAAAAAATTTTATAAAGAAGTCAAATTTTCAAGAAAATTCCGCTAGAATTAATTAGTTTGTTTGTTACGAAAATTATTTATTTTTAATTACTTGTTATTGATAGATTAAATTTATTTATAGAACATTTAATACCAAAAAAAAATTTCAGCAATAATATTATACGTTTGGGTAGCCCGTCAAATATGTATATATAGTCAAAAAAATTTTTTAATTTTATTAATAAAAAGTAAACAAAATTTTCAAATCTTAATTGAAAAAAAAAAATTTTAAAACTATAAAATATATATGAAAAGATTTAACTAATGGTGTAATAAGTTATCCCGTTGAATCAACTTCATTGATACGAATGATTTCCCCTCAAATCCTCCATAATCTTCATGTAATTTTAATTTGTAGAGGCAAGTTTCAGCCTTGGAAGATTTTGCCAATCCTTTTCGCCTTTATGAAACCGATTAAAGATCAAAAAAAAATTTTTTGTTTGGATAGACCCAGCTATCTATCATTTTTAAAAACATTCTGGCATCCTAAAGGTTTTGTCATGATTTTTATGTAAATATAAAATTTAAAATATATAGTGTCTTTTTTAGAAACTGGAACACCTTTTGAAATCATACAAAGTACAGTCAAACCTCGTTTCAACGGATCTATACATAATAATAAGAAATGATAAATGAGGTAATAGTCACAAGACATTTCCCGCAGGGGTGTAAAACATACAGTCAAACCTCGCCACAGCGGATTCATGGTTCCAACCAAAAAAATCCGTTATGACGAGAAATCCGCTGTGGAA